ACAAACACTGTCTATAGTACCCTTTTACCTTTTAACATAAGTAGCACAAATATTAAAGAAGAGCATATTGAAGATGCATTTATTGATAAAAATTTTAAGATGTATGAGCATCTATAGTTACATGCTTTTGTTGCTAATATTGAATTGTTCGAATTGGAAATATTCTTGTCCTCTCTTCATAATTTTAAAGAGAAAAATCATGAATTTCTTTATTTTCACTGACTTTGTGAACACATATTCCCTCTTTTGCCTTTTCCCGTCTGCACTACCAATTTGTACTTAGAGGTCCCAGGGTCTTGGTGTAGTACACATCTGCCTTTTGCCAGCCAACTATTTAATTATCCAGCTCAAATATAACCTTTTTAAGAGGCTTCCCAGGTCCATCTAGTCAGAATTGAATGATTTTCCCCATGCTGCCATTTTTTACATTTTTATTAGAGGTGTATGTCATGGTAGGAAATACATCCAATATAGTTTGTATCCCTGAAGGACTTAGTGCTCAAAACAGATTCACATATGTTTATTGGACTGAACTGAAATTTATACTGTGGGAAATAAGGATGATAGTTTGCTATGAAAACAGAATATCAGAGTATATTTAGAAGCTTCCAGAACAAGCCTGCAGAATTTTCCTGATAACTATATGCTTATAACCCAATGCATAAAATTGGAAAAATATCACTTATCTTTAAGCTTCCAGCTACATCTTGTCTAAACACACATATTCTAGGATTTCTTATATATTACCCCTCCATTCACATAGATTATTAGTTTCCATTAAAGGGTGAACCCTTTGTGCTTACTTATTTACCCCTCATGCAGGATGAATGTTAGATACACCATCCATTTGCACCTGATGCCCGTCCACGTCAATGTATTCCCAGTTCTGCAATGTAACTTCTTCCCAAAATGCAGAGTCTGTCCAATTAACACATTTAACACAGCCTTAGCATGATTTCAGGCACATGTAGCAAAGGAGTTTGTTTTATGAGACAGAATTCCATTAATAACCTGTCCCATGAGGGTCATAATTGAATTAATTAACTTTTATAAAATTTCATGTACAGAAAGGCATCACTTTTGTTTTTCAGTGACCTAGATAATTTTAGTTTGTAAACTGTTTCCAGGGCTTCATGAATCACTCAGGGCAGAAGGCCTTTGAAGCTTCCCAGAGTTACTGAGTTCAGTATAGCAAGTTTCTGCTCTCTCAGCTCATCTTCATCATTTCTATTTTTTGATCTCTTTCTAAAGAGATTATATAATGTTTGTAAGAACAATTGGTTTATCATTATGATCATTAGTGTTAGTTTAAGAAGAGCTCAAAGACCAATAATATAGATTGGCTGGAATATTTGTGTCCTTTGCAGGCACATAACAATTGTGACACCAAGAGTTGTAGTTTATTCCCTAATATAAGTGTTGCCAGTGGCACCAGCGTGGGGTTTTGACTTTACTGCACAAAAGAATTTGAGAGCAAGTTCAAAGTGAAAGGAGGTAAGAGAGCTTACTGCAAAGCAAAAGTATACTCACAGCTGATCACAGCAGGCTACTCAAAGGTGAGACAGTGCTGACTGACACTAGGGAAACTCTCTTTATGAGAGTCTCATATGATTATTCATGAAGGGCTGGGAAGGCATGTTGCTATGAAGCATGTTCTGGGTGGTCCTCTGGATGTGCATGTGCTATTGTTGTACATGCCAGTAGATGACATGGCATGTCTCGTTAGCATCTTAAATCTCTACTCATGGGTGCATTTTTTACTATTATAATAAGCATAGGTCAGCCCAAAGACACTGATCATGGGTTTCTGCACTTGCATGAATTTAGGGATTTCTCCTTTCTGCTCCTTTACCTCCTTGCTGTAGGATGCTGTGACCACCAGCCCAGGATGCGGTTTGTGTACTGTCAGGCAGTTTGTTCTCTCCATTTATTTAGGAAGTTTGTTCTCCTTTAAGGTAAGCTATAACCACCCTATGTAACCTACTTTATAAGGACATAAGATGCTTTAATGGACTGGCTGAATCCCACAGCCATCAACAGTGTAGGACATAGATATAAATGAGAGGAGCAAATAGATTTTGACATTTAGAAAGGAAATGCATAGTAGCATTTTAATCAGCACATTTGCCAACACCATCTTCCCTTTGAAGAAAGGTTTCTTCAGAAAGATTCTTCAGGTTGTCTGTATCATGATGCATTCTTTAAAGTGGAAGCATGACTTGAGGTTCTAGTGGATGTTTAAGACTCACCCTCTCACTGTGTGACCTTACATGCACTCTTTCTGGCGTTCATTTATTTTAAATGCCCTGGCCGAATACAAAGGTATGTTGTTATGGCCTTCTTAGTTTCTTTAAAGGAAGCTACTTGATAAAGCATGCTTTATCAGTTGTCAAGTCTTTGATACTTCATGAGCTGCCACTCATTTAACAATCAAACAGTATGAATTTAGTGATCATCAATTTAATATGAGAATAATGAATAAGACTGTGGGGAAAGGGGACAAATACAAACAAATTCATTAAATTATTTATTAAGTATTTATGAGTACCTATGTTTTAGACTCTATACTAGATGGTTGATATTTTTGAAATGAGCCATACAACTTTTTGTCCAGAAGCTCAGAGTCACAGAAAAGACACACACCAAAGGCTTTACATTTGCTTAGAAAAAACAGATTACATACCATGAGACAAGAACACTACAGTAAAAATATCGACAGTAAAGCTTTATTAAACCAGTTGCCATTTTTAGTGAATTTGTGATAATTGGGATAGGAACTTTCTGCCCTCTTGGGGGAAAATATTGGTAACACAAGCAAGGTATGCATTTCATCATTAAAAGGTTTAGTATAGTACATTTCTGCCCCCTTGAAGTTATCCCACCTCTTAACCTTTGTCTCAGAACTATGTTGTATCATGTTTGTTAGGAACAGTGGACTTATACTCATCCTAATGATAATGTCCAGGAAGCCTTGCATTTTGGAAAGCAAATCCTATATGGGGCAGACGTGTCTTGTGACAAATGACAAAGAGATGCTGTAGGTTTTTAAGCCATTTGGGAAAGTTATTTTAAAACATAATTCTTTTTATTACTATTTAAAAAATACTTAGACAGTGAAAAGTTATCAGTAGGTTGTATTTAAAGTTATTTGCACAAGTCAATTATTTTGGGTATGGCACAAACCCAAAGAAATGTTTTTAGATATAAGGTCTAGTTTCTGAGACTGTCCACAAAAATCTAGGTAGCTTGTAATGCAAATAATCAACCACCTCAATCACAGTATTTTCCAAATTGTGCCAGCTGTTAACATTCATGAGCTTCTTCTGTGAGTTTTATAAGAATTTTTAAATTCTCTGTTTTCATTTTGATAAACATAAAAATTAGCATACAGTAATTGAATCATATTCTGTATCACCTAAATGAATGCCCTGTTTTATGATTCTTGAAATCATGTTTATCATCATCTCTATAATTGTGTTTGTCTCTGTTATCATTTGTTTTTAACAGTTTTTGGGGTTTACTATATACAATGGTTAGTAGCTGGCTGCTATTTGGCTGGCTAACATTAAAGTTACAGTGACACAATTCTTTCACATTTATTATTATACTCATGTTGATTTTGTTTACCTGTTAGGAGAAAACAACTCAGAAAATTTTAGTTTTTAAGATTAAATTTAGATTTTAAACTAAACTGATACATTAGGCAGAATAATGTAGACTAATGATAAAATAACAAAGGCAGACAAAGTAAATAAATGTCATAGTTATGTTAAGGGTTAGGCCAAATTAAATCATACATCTGAATGGATGAAGATCTGCAAAGATGAATTCTGCAGTATTTCAAGTGAGACAAGTAGTGGGAGAATTTAGTCATCACACAGGACATGGGAAGCAACTTCATAGTTGGACCACCATAACTGCCAAAGTGAATACTCAGTGAAATTTTTAAAATTTATAATTAGGGTTATAGTTTAAAGTGTTTTAGCAAAATAATAGACCAGTATTTATTTTTTATCTACACATCAAAATAATAGCCCAGTATTTATTTTTGCTCTACACATCATTTTTCGTTTTTTGAGATGGAGTCTTGCTCTGTCGCCCAGGCTGGAGTGCAGTGGCACGATCTCGGCTCACTGCAACCTTTGCCTCACAGGTTCAAGTGATTCTCCTGCCTCAGACTCCTGAGTAGCTGGGATTACAGGGTGTGCACCACCACACCTTGCTAATTTTTGTATTTTTAGTAGAGACGGTGTTTCACCATGTTGGTCCAGCTGGTCTTGAACACCTGACCTTGTGATCCACCTGCCTCGGCCTCCCAAAGTGCTGGTATTACAGGTGTGAGCTACTGTGCCCGGCCTACATCATTTTTAAATTGGAAAATTTTTCATAAAAATACAGATTTCTGGCTTGCACTTTTTTTTTTTTTTTTTATGAGAAGGCATGGCACTTATAGGCCTGCAGCCCCCTGTGGCATTAATAGAACTGGGCAGTAGCTGTTTCTTATACAAGGCCTGCTTGTCTCATATACATTTGCCACTTATATTTCACAAGCACTAGAATTTGTGCTTCCCAACCTAAGCCAATGTTGTGTATTTCCCAGGGTGCAGTAATGTTTTTGGCAAAGGGAGTCTGTAGCTCTGCATATGTTGTTTGTAAAACAAGTATTTGTGAGTAGGGGCTTCTGCTGAATATGGCTCCTCTCTGGGGCACTATCACACTTTGTTCTTTCTGTAATCATAGTTTGGTGTATAGCTAGAAATAAAAATCAACCTTTAGAAGCAAATTTATAAATTAATTTACTGCATTCATGGACTCAGAGGCTTGCCTGTGAGAAGGAATCTGAATGTCCTCTCCTTCCTTCCCCACCCCTCCTCCCATCCCTGGCATAATGCCTGCCCTCCATCTAGTCTGCTTCCTTCCCTATTATTACTGCTTATTCATTTTACTTCATTAATGTTTAAAGACCATTGCAGTTATTCGCTGAAAAGGGCAACACTTACCACCAACCATGCATAGGTGAACTCAGATGAAATTTCTGAGGAGCTATTTTGAAAGCATGGTATTTCCAGAGTTCGATTTATCTCTATTTCTATTGTATGGTTGATTTTCCACTCGCCTGGTGTAACTATAACAAAACATAAGGTAGAAAACACATGAATCTCTGATTGGTTTATAAAGTGCTTTTTGTCAAAGAGACAAAAACAGTTTTATTATAGAGATTCATTTATCCTCAGAATGCACCTATAAAGCAGAGAGGCAAACCCCCACTATAGTCCTTGTTGTATAAGTGGCTAAACAGAGTCACCGAGGAGCACAGAATTGTTGCTAAACACTGAGAAATTACAAGGAAACAACCCGAACAGAATCAAACTCATCATTTGGCATGTTTCTCTGCTTTAGCCCCAAATTGGTGCTTTAATCTTGAGGTTCCCTTTCCTTGATCAGATAGAATATAAAACTTCATAACCTGGCCTGAATTGTCTTCTTATTTTGATGGACTGTATTTTTTAGAGTAGTTTTAGGTTCATAGGAAAATTGAGCAGAAAGTATAAAGTTCCCAGTATATCTACTGCCTCTACTCACACACAGCCTCCACCACTGTGGACATCCTGTTCCACAGCAGTACATTTGTTACAATTAATGAACCCACATTGGCACATCATTATCATCCAAAGTTCATAGTTTACGTTATGGTTTACTCTGAATTTTGTATATTCTCTGAGTTTGGACAAATGTATAATGACATGTATCCACCATTATAGTATCATATATAATAGTTTTGCTGCCCGAAAAATCTGATATTTTGACAGTCTTCATATCTAATAATCTTCCTAGAACTTATAAACATTCCTTCAACAAAGGAATGACACAAAAATAGATAAGGAAACTTTGAGGAAGCAGTGTTAATTATTTTCATTTTTAAGGTAATAGAAGATAAATATCCATTTTGTAGTCTTTCCTATTGGGAAAGTTGTATATACATACATATAAATTTGTGACTAAACTATAACATCAAAAGAAATTTATAAATAAAGGAAACTCTATCATCCAAATATCCTAAAAATCTTATATTCCTTTTTCTATATCTATTCAAATCTCGTTTGCATACGTGCATGTTTTCTCATAGTCTACAATCCTATTTACCAATGAATGTTATATATATTGTTATTTTAAATGTTTCATGTGATTCTTGAACTATTTTTGATTTAAATTTATGGGGAGTTTGTGTCTTTTTATCATATATACCAATCATCATTCATTTAGTCATTTCCAATTATTGAATCATTGTGCTCTTTCAGCTTGGATTTTTTAACTTTTAAACCATTACATGCTATACAGCAAGGATCATCCTTATGCTAATAGCTTTACTCTGACCATTCAGCTACTTAAGGTAAATTCTCAGAAGTATAATTAGTGGATCATTTAGTATGAACATTCTTATTGCTACTAACATTGTGTATATATATAAATATGTTATATAACAGTATAACTGTTATACAGTATTAGTCCATCAAAATAAAAAGACAAAACCTAGGTTATGAAGCTTTATATTCTATCTGATCAAGGAAATGAAACCTGAAGATTAAAGCACCACTTAAGGACTAAAAATTATATATATGTATAATTATACACACACATAAAATACATGCTTTACAACAGTATACATATTTTAATGGATTATTTCTCAATTTATAAATTTTATATCTAGCCTTTAGATATTTGTTATGTTTTAATCTCTTATCAATAGCAGCTATATTCTCTACTGACAACTCCTTCTTCCTCCTTTTCCTAATTAAAACCAGATCTTCCCATAGGGTACATCTTCCCCATAGCATTTCCAAATAGTAGTTATACATTTTCTTGCACTCCTAATTCATCAAGTTCTGGAGGTAGGATCAGTACTTTCCTTGCTCTCCACTGCTGTTTCCAAATACTACTCCAAACCCATAATTGAAAACAAGAGCCTTGTCTCTTAAGGTAAAGCAATACTTAGCTATCATACTTCAAAATGGAGCTGTTTGTACACTACCTCTACTATCATAATTTTTTGACTTATTTGCATACCACCATTACTACTATTTAATTTTATTCTTGAAATGATTGTAGTTGTTTTCCTTATATATATATTTCTTTAAAATATACTGATTTAGGCACTAATATCTGTGAAGTCTATGCAATACAAATATGTTAGTTATATTTTAATGAACATCAGTCAAATATGTAAGTATTACATTTTTGTAAACCTTGTCCAGATTCTGGGAAGCTGGCAGGATAAGTTGCATTACTTTTTGAATATTCCTGAAACCCTGTATAAAAACAAAGACGATAACTAGAATAACCAAACTAAAAATACATAGACAATATCTACAAGAACACTAACTACCAACACATCCTTGTTAATTGTTGGGGAAAATTCACTAAACCACTGTGTTATCAGCAACTATGCAGAAAGAAACATAGGAAGATCAACTTCTTCTGATGGATCTTAGAACTTGAGAACCCACACTACCTCTCTCTGCCTAGTAACAGGTAATCACTGGAAAGACAGATTAATCCAAGAATCATAGCTGAAATGGAGAGGAGAGTTTGTAGACACCAAATCACCAGTGTCTTTAAGAAAAGTAAGAAATGGGTTGTCAGTGCTGGAGCTAAAATGTCTTCTCAGGACACATGCCATGGGGAGAAGAAATCGCTGGACGTAGAATCCAATAAAACAGAACAGGTTCAATAAGAGAACCTGTTTTGATTGCTCTTATTGAAACCAAAGAGGCAATTTAGACAAAAGTGAGGGATAGAAGCAAAGGAAATACACTCAGAAAGTACAATGGCAAATTACTTATCTTGAAAATAACAGAAGAGGGGTTCTAGGGATACTGAACACTCTAGAAAAGCTAGCCTGGCCCACTCTTCTGTGATAGGAATGCATTTAACTTAAACATGAGCAATAGAAAGGGAATGAGATAGAATAACCTATAAGGATATCAGAAGCAAAAAGAGAATAAAGAAAAAAAAAACAACATTCCTATAACAATGAGAGCATATTATCACAAAATGACAACAAAGTAAATGATAACTATAGCCAAATTATTCAAAATGAGCTAAAAGAAATCAAATAATGTAAACTGTGAACAATTTTGGAAAGTTCCCAATGAGTCCAGTGGAAGAAAAAAGCTTACAAAATATAGGTAAGAAAATTCACGAAAAGGTTAGAAATAATAATTTTTTAAAAATCACTCCAGAAATTAAGATAAAATTATAACAAAACCAGAAACCTAGAAACACAAAAGCTAATTCATTAAAATACATTTTAAAAATAGTATGAGGAAAATTTTGAAATAAATTAATATGTAATTATAAAATAAAAGAAAAAACTGAGAAAAGAGATTCAAAGAAAATGATATGCAAAGAAGATAAAATGTATGTACAATAGAAGACATTAAAGAAAAAAGATCAAAACAATGGAACAGAGCAAATATCAAAAACTGTAATTCAAGAAAAATATAAAATTTAACACTACTAGAAAATACACATGAAGCGATTATACTGCAAAAAATAGGAAAACAGACCCAGAATGGACAACATTAAGCATGTTCATATAAAAGTATTGAGCAAAGTCAAACATGGGGAAATTTTAGATTGCTATTAGCTTTTTGAGAGCAGTCCTATGCCAGAAAACATTACAGTAACATAGTTAATATACTCAAGGAAAGAAAATGTGAACCAAAGATTTTATATTCAGCAAAATTAACCTTTATAAAGACTACAGAAAAATGTTAGAGTTATGCAAGAACTCTGAGAATATTGCTGTTCTGAGCATTTCCTAGGATTCTCCAGTAGAATACATTTCAGACTGGAGATGCATTTACATGAAGGTTAGTGGTAAATGTTGATTATGTATTTACCTTTAGCACTAAGAATATATAATGTTATAACAAAGGGAATAGTAATGAATACATGTTTTTAAATAAAGATACAATAGAAATATTAAAATATGAGGAGTAGGAATGAGGGACTTGTGGTTATGGGGACATGAGGAGGTCAGTAAAAATAGACAAGTACAAAACTGGGCAAACGTGCTTAAAAAGCAACAATTTTAGGTCCTTGGAAATTGACTAAAGGTAATTATTGTGAAGCATTTCTTCTCGAGAAATCACTAGAGCTTTAGTAAAAACAGCAGGAGTCTTCAATCTTTTTGCCTACAGCTCCTTCCCTTCCCTTCTCCAACTTGGTCATTAAGAAGTGTAGTTTTAGCCACATGAAGCAGGTTGCAAAAACCAGCAGCTTTTTTTTCCACAATGGGCAGACTTAAATTAGGCCTAGGGGTAGAAACCTTTCACCTTTTTCCATAACAGGGACACACTTGGTAGGTTGCAAAAACCTGAAGCTTGGTTAGTTTGAGTTTGTATTCCCATTTGGAGTGCTTGCCCCTCTGAAATGCATGTTGAAATTTGGTTTCCATTGTGACAGTATTAGGAGGTAGAATCTTTGGGAGGTGATAGGGAAGAGCTCTTATCAGTGGCATTAATGCTGTTATAAAAGGGAGAGTTAATTCCCTTTTTGTCTCTTGCCTTCTGCCTTCCACCATGTGAGGACATGGCATTTCTCCCCTCCAGAGGATTTAGCAAGCAGGCCCTCACCAGATGTCAATAGCTTGATCCTGGACATTCTCAACCTCCATAACTGTGAGAAAATAAATATCTATCATTTCTAAAGTATCCAGTCTATGGTATTCTGTTAGAGCAGAACAAAACAAAGATAGTGCCAGACCAGAGAGACCTTTAACATGGAGATCCTGGAAACTGGAGTCATGGAATGGCTAAGATAAGGACTTCACATATTATACCCTGGCTAGGAAACTACACACTGAGTAGGGGAGACCTGAAAGAGCCTAGCAAAAAGTAAAAGCCAAGGAAGTCTGGGTAACTGGCTGCAACTTGGAATGCACTCCCTGATTAACACACAAATCTATGTATAAACAGTGGAAGCCTAATGGGGTTAACGTGTTTGAGCATGACTTTTGCCAAAATCATTGGTGGACCAGTAGAGTGGTTTTTCCAATGCAGGGGCAACTTCTTGCAAGCCAAATTTAAAAATAACTATTTGTATTAAAATCTGAGCAGAGAG